CATTCTGTATAAACAAAAGTAGGTAGGCGGCATTTTGCTGCACTCCCCGATTTTGTTTTTATACTGCCAATGCTGAAAAAAGACTGATTGGGCTTTCCTGCTAATTGGCACAACTCCTGTCTAAAAAGGGCTTTAGATTGTGAAAGTATGAAAAAAGATTAAAGCCATGTTAAAGAAAAAACAAATCTCAGATTTTGAGAATAAAGTCAAAATATTTTGAGAATAAAGTCGTAAATCTATGAGTAAAAAGTAATTACGAGGATAATGTTGTAAGTCTACGAGAACAAGGTCATAATATGTGAATCAAGTTGAAATATTACAAAATTAAACTTGTAATAAAGTCACAGATTAAGACTTGAAAGTCGGTGAACACTGTATAAAAAGTGACAAGGTGTGTAGAAACAGTGTTGGAGGTGACAGTAATGTACCAAAGGAAAGACTGGTGATATTTTTACATTTTTACGTAACGTAACGTGTTGTTCTCATTATTCTCGTAGATATACGACTTTATTCTCGAAAAAAAATTTTCTTTAACATGGCCCTATCCTCCTTATATGTTGATGAGTTTTTTCTTTTGAGCATCACAACTTCGGCAAAATGACTCGTCTCACTATCGAGATCGGATCCATTCAGTCTGAGAACGTTCAGAAAGTGTTGAAAAGCTGCATGATTAAATCATTTCAGCCCCGTTCAAGTTAGCGAAGGGCTAAACTGGAAATAAGCTGCTTGGCCGGTGGAAGTCTGAAATGCATTTGCTCTACGGCCCAACGATGTGAAAGATCCAGGTAGTTTTATACCCAGGAAGTGGAACTTTTCATCCACTGAGCAATCTTCACAGGAACAACCTGAACCTGACCTCCAACACTCTGCTCAGCTCTCTTTATGTTGCAGATATAGACGTCTCATTCTGAGGTTAATGTGAAGATGATTCTCAGTTTCAGGTGATCATAAATGAATGAAAACATAGTGATGAATATTTTGATCCATTTCTGCCAGTTTATCTCCTGAATTCCTCCACACTGGAGCTTTAGGTCAAACTATGAATCAGCAAAATGTTCTTGAAGAATCAAAAGTAAAAGTGCTGATTGTGCAGTACAAATATTTGTCTCTGAGATGTCGTGAAGTTTAAAGTTGAAAATACTCAAGTAGATTACGAGTTCCTTTGATCAGTGCCTGAGCGCAGTGTCTGAGGCCTCTGAGGAGAGCAGCCTGAAATAAAACCATGTTTTGGTAGAAATCCCTGATCTGATGCAGCGTCGTCATATCAGATCTGTCGTTAACTTCAAGGAAGGGAAGAGCAGGTTTTTATGTAACACAGAACTGTGGGACTTCCTGTTATTTTCAGACAACATGCTGATGATGATGATAAGTGGAGGCCTCCGCTCAGCACGCAGCTCAGAGCCTTATAGATCTTTCCTTTCATCATGTGCTCATCAACAGTGGGTCACATGAAAATCTGCTATTGCAGGATCTTTTTTTAACCGATGATGACACTGAGTTGTGTTCAGCTTGTTTGTGTGTTTGGTTTTTATTATGGGCTGTAACAGGGAGGGTTTACAGGTGCAGATGTTGGTCAGAGGTCAAAGGTCACTCTGCTGAAACGTCTTTCATGCATCTCTGATGTCTTTATGAATGAGTATAAATGCTGGGTTGTCTCTGTTGCCTGAACTTTGAGGTACTTGTCACTGAGTGTTTCCATTTTTACCACATTTATTTCACAGCTCTCGTTACTTTGCATTTTGACTGGTGCTGCTACTTTTAGGTTGCCTTAGTTAGTACCTTAGTTAAGCAAAAACATTAAGGCCTTTGATGCATTTAAAGAGATTTTTCAGTGGTAAATGGCTTAACTAACTTTAAGGGATTCCTCAAGTATGAGATCAAGATAAGGAGAAAAGTACTTAAGTGAACATTTTAAGGAAACCTGAAGGAAAAGACGTGATTTGTGCTTAAAAAATCCTTAATATGGACTTTAAGGAAAATCTAAAAGTGTTTTGTGCAGCCGGCCCCTGAGTGCTTCTTCAACCACTGTGTTTCTCCTGATCTATAATTACATATATGTTGTGCACATGCATGATAGTGACGGGCTTTTTCGGTGTAGAAACATCATCTGTCCGCCGAGCAGAACACAAAGGAAGCACAGGAAGTTGTTGACTTTTGACTTTCCGGACGTGAGCGTGTGTCTATAGTGGATGTGCGCATGTACGCTTATCAGATTTCCTGTGTTTTTTCTCCTCTCTCCTGGTTTGTGACTTGGGCATCCTGTATTGCCTCCTGCGTCTGTTTAGAGCAGGTGAAACATTCAGTGTGAGGAGGGATAATAACTGAAACAGAAAGAATGAGGTTTTTGATTCAGCACTTTGCTGTGAGGAGGACAGGGGTGTGTTGATGACGCCTGAGGCGAAGAAGACGAGTCAGTCAGAGGCCTCAGGTTTAAGATGAAGTCATGGAGGAGACACAGGACAGGACAGTGTGTGTGTGACTTTTCTGTGCTGCAGGTTAGCCTGTATGTGTGTGTGTGTGTGTGTGTGTGTGTGTGTGTTTGGACTGAAAACAGAGTTATCTGATGGAGGAAGTTTGTGTAGGATGAGACAGATAGGAAATCTGTACGTTCTCCTCCGTCCTGAATCAGCTCCTCAGAGAACCAGCGGAGACTCGATCAGACTCTGCGTGCTGACGACACTTGTTGGTCACTAATGAGGTTTGAGTGACACTGGTTGGGTTAAAGACATGTTTATCAGTGTCACTGTGTGTGTGAGAGCTCTCCTGGTAGGTAACCTGCAGCAGTGTCAGTATTGTTATCAGTTACAGCGACCTTTAAAGGAATGAACAGAAGGATGTTTTTCAGTTGAACAATCACTTTTTTAAATGGAAGTTTGTGTAAAAAGTCCGACGGGCAGCGAAGGAGACGCGCACGTGACATTCTTTGGTACTGTAGATAAGCAAATGTACACCGTATGATAACCATCATTTTTTATACCACAGTATGCTGCTGCAACTCTCGAGAGCTGAAGTCATCATGACATCACTTCCTGTCTAGCTTCTGTGACTTGGGGTGCATCCTGCATCGCATACCTTTTCTTCTTCTCTCAGTAGCTACT